TTTGAGTGGACCTTTGTCGCACATTGCTTGCCGCTTGGTCTCGAAGGAGCTCAAAAAGATCAACAAGGTCTTCGAAGAATATGCGGTTGGTGGACCGTGCATGTCATGCACGAAAGAAACTGCGGGGTGTTGTGGGCACATATATGACAAAGAATGCGCACTATATAGCATTGACACGTGTGCGCGCACAGAAATAGCGGGTGACAGTGCCTGGGCCACATTTGGTGCTGTGGCACCTGCAGAAATCATCATCATCCTGCTGCTGCTGCTGCTGCTGGTGCCGATGCGGGGCTGCAGATGCTGCCTTTGCCAAAAACAGGTTTGCGCCGAGGCCACCAGGTAATGCTATGTTGCTTGTCATTAACTGTAGTCCAGGTGGGGAAAGAGACAAAACTCAGATGAGGAGGAAAAGGTTTGCAGCAAGAAAGCAAGAGATGATAGCAATGGTGAATATGGCACGTGAGTGGAACTGACGACAATAGCGGGCATTGGACACACTTGAAAAAACACCAGGGTAAGAATAGACAAGCTTATTGTTTCTATTTAATTCTTGTTTCTAATAGCTTCTTCTTACTACTAGTAAGGCACTTGTTTCTAGAAGCGATGCACTTGTTCCTAGTAGCTTATTGTTTAATAGAAAAGCATTATTCCATTTCACCAACTGGGAGGATACCTTCAAGGTGGAGTCATCACGGATGCGTGCCTTGCTTGCATGCCGCAATCTGATGCAAAGGCACTCATACAGTTGGTGTCTCAGGCAGAGGTCCAGAGGTCCGTTTGCTGAGGTGCAAGAACTTGGGCAGACACCTCATAGACAGGGAACATATGCCGGAAGATGACGATGAATTTGACTTGGAAGATTTTGTGGACTGGGTCGATGAGTGCAGGCGCTGCAGGGAGCTAGGCGATGAGAGTTGGAACGCAGTCACTGTGTGGTTCCACAGGGCAAATTGCCACCACACCTCTCATAGATCCCTTCGCCGGGCTGTGGACTGGGAAGCCAGGCATGAAGCAATGATGAAGGAGCGGAAGCTTGCCGGCTTCGGATATTGGAAGGTGGAGTGCTTTCGGGAGTCGCTGCTGGGCAAAGAGAAGAGCACCGGGTGAGAGAAGAGCAGGAAATGTGACAAGTTCAAACACCACGAAAGACGGAAGGTCGGAAGGTGTTTGGAAATGCAACCTCACGCGTGTGGGATCACGTAAGTCTGATCGAGTGTGATGTTCCCTCCAATATGCTCTTCTATGACCAGATTTGGCGCCTTTGAGCCTTGCTCCCGCTTTTTCGTCCAGTCAGTCGGGCGGTCCGCAGCTTCAAACTAGCTTAGGTTTAAGGAGTTCGACCGAAATGGGAACGATGCTTTGGCAGCTCGGCTTGGAGGTAGGCACCCGAATGATGATGCAAGCAAAGCCAGTTAAGAGGCATGAGTTGAAAGGGCTTTCTATATGCACACCTGGAGGGTTTCCGAGTGACCGAGTGTTTGCACATACGTCTCAATATTCAATCCATTTTCATACCTTGTCTATCCTTGAATGAATCGGTTTGGTGAGTTTTCGTGGTACGGGAGAACCTTGCTTCGTGCCGACGGACTGCTGGACTCAGGAACCAGACGAGTTGACCCTTGGCTTATGGATTCTTGTAAGACGAATTCTGATGGCCTACGCTGCCTACGTAGTGGTGGGCCTTGAGAAGGCTTCAGAACTCCGGTCAGTGGTTCCATGCCTCACGCATCCTCACCTCACGCCAATCACACCGGCATTGCGACATATTGCCATATTGCGGCCGAATATGCCGACTGAGGATGAAGCTTCTGAGATACATGAACATTTCAGAGGCACCGAAGAACAAATCTGAAGCTTGGCTCAGCACAAGTGCCCAAATTGGGAGGAGCCTATGCACAATGCACGGTGCTAAGGAGCAACAGAAGCTCGTCAAACTAGTGGAGACTGCTCGCAAGAATGCCTTTGAAGCTGGCATTCGAGACGCTTGCCTTTACAAAGCACATTTGGACCAACTTCTCATACTTGATGGTGGTGCAATTGGGATTAGAACTTGTACTGATTCGCACACCATATCCTGAATTGCAGGAGGTGCACCAGGAACACGGGAACAGCGTCTCCTTTTGGACCTTTGCACCTTTGCTGAATCCTAGGTCCTAGCCGTTTCTGGCTTTCAATGTGGGTGTGTTTTACAATGGGTGTTTTTCAAGGTGAGTGCAGAGTTTTTTGTTTGTTCTGTTGTGCCCTACACTCCTTGCCTGAAGGGCTGAGGGACCGAGGTGCAATTGCTACGATTGTTGCAGACACAGAAGGAGAAGATCCTTGTCTTGGAGTAGCACAGACGCCGCCACCAGGGTTTCTTCTTGTTCATCCACGCTCAATTGTCCATCCAAAGCCGGCATTGGCAGTTTTGTTAGAAGCCAGTTGTTGCTTAGCCTTCCATCCACTCATGATGTCACAAGAACGCCAATTGTCCATGATACAATGTGTGCACCGTGGACATCCGTGGACGACTTTTTTGGTACCTGAAGACATGCACCGTGGTTTTGGTGGATATGTGTAGTCAGCATGGCCCAACCAAGAACATACATTATCGATTTGAGGGTGTTGGATTGCAGGACTCTTATGCTTGGGGGCCCACGGGTAAATCACTGTTTTTTTCCTGGTGGATGGGTCAGCAGCTATTGTCCGAACGACATCAGAACTGGCTTGCTTGGGCAAAGGGTGTTCAGTAGTTATTCAGTATCACGGAACATCGGTATGTTGAAAAAGCACATCGGTATGGCCAAGCTCGACAGGCTGAGAAAATGCCCTTGGCAGAACAGTTGGAAACGCAGAAATCAGCTGACACGGACTTGTTGAACAGCTATTTTGCTGACAAGGATTCGACTGAAACACTTTTCTGACTGGGACTGCAGCTGTGTTCAACTGGTTTTGCAATGTTTGCCGCTTGGAAATGGTCCCCGTTTGCGTTTACGGGGTGAGGTGAGCCGCTGAGGGGGATCTGAAGATCGTGAAAGATAGGGGGTACGATTTCTTTCTTCCAGGCGTGAGATGACCCGGCTCGACGTGGTCATGGAAACACTCCAATTCTCCAAGTTCGAGGCCTCCAGAGTCGACGGCGAGGGATGAAGAAGCATTGTATTGATTATACAGGGAGAGGACACATGGGTCTAGATGCAGGTCACCAACACCCGGATGGTTGGTAAAAGATGCTTGGTAAAACAGGTAGGTCCAAACATCAGAACGTGTGAAATCCATCATTTTCTCAGTGCCTGGACATGCCTGGACTGTTCGTATCTTCAAGAACATCGGTGAACGGTCCAGGTGGAGCAGTTCCGGCTGATCTTCTCTCACTGGGCGAGGTACCATCCGAATACCGGTCTATCGGACCGAGAGAACCTTGGAGGGGCCAGGGGTCGACGACTGAAGACTCCGGTTGCTAAAGCACTGTTTTGAGTTTTGACCAAAAAAGGTCGTTCTGGTGGAGGTCTTTGGGTTTCTTGACCTATATGATCTTATTATGACTTATTATAACTTATTCTAATGCCGAGTGCGCTGGCGGGGATTGTTGATCGGCCTAAGTCGGTACCAGAGTTTCATGTTTGCTTCCAATCAGAAAATAAACTTATGAAACCTTTGGGTCAACTAAGTAACTATGCATTCCTTTGCCAGAAGCACCACATCGTCTTTGAATGTCGCCCAAGGATTGACACAGAGGTCGACACTCTCACAGAGGAGCAGGTTTGCAGAATCTTCCGCTCGGCGGGCGTATCTCTTGCCACTTGGCACGTCCGGAGCGTCCCGTCCCAATGGAGCTCACGCCGTCGGTCGTCCGAGCGTCTCCAGGTCGGAGGGCACATGGGCGAATTGCGAGTTGGCTTGGAACCTCTTCAGACTGACCGTGCTGTGTCTGCATGGACATGGACATGCCCGCGATCCTCGTATGTCCTTCAAACAAGATTTGTGAAGAGCCTTGCGAAACAAAGCGTTTCAGCCGTTTGAAACCGCAGTCGCATGACTCACCAAATGCCTTGTCCTTCTGCGTGCTGGATCTGATGGCTTGAGGCAGATTGACCTTTGAGAACTTCCTGAGATTGATGCGTTCCCCGGTTGCAAGTGATTGAGCAAAATGTAGGCTCCTTTAAACAAGGTTGTTTGGCTTGTATTGTCTCGGATGTGAAAAACTGCTCGGAGGCGGGCCAGCTTTTTTTTCCCTTCTGAGGCTGGGTGGTCGACACCAACTTCGCCGGCCTTGGTGAGCCCGTTTCAAAGTGAAGTCCAAGAGGCTTGCGTAGCTCGGCTATTCAATTTAGGTTAGGCGTAGCTCGGGGAGAATAGCTCCTCCAGGCCAGCTTGTTTCAAGTTGGCAGTTAACGAGCCAGGTTGACTGCAAAGGTTTCAGCCAGCATATTTTGCTGTTTCACTTAGTCTCGGAGATTGGATTGTTTGGGCCACGTTGCTAAGCAACAAGGAATGATAAGGAAGGCTAATTTGCCGGCTCACGTGCTTCACGAGCCAGCCCTAGTTGGATTCAGCACAGCTTGCAAGCAGCAGGGGGTTCTTTCGAAGAGATGGGTTATATATGCGGTAGTTACGGTAGTTGTTTGATGCTGTTTGACAAGTTCCAAGTCAAAGCAGGCACTAAAGGCTATAGGCACTATTCTGTGCAAGGGGTGCTGAACCCTTCAGTTTTGTAGAGTCTTGCGCTCGTGCATCCACCCTGTCATGCCCAGTCATGTCAGGGGTGAGACCGGTGAAACCAGAAACATTGGCAAAAGTCTTAAACATGGGCGATGGAGAAAGACTCTTAGCAGTCCATCACCTTCACTCGTGAATCAGAACGCTCTACACTGTTTTGATCATGGACATCTGTGGTCAGGACTTTCTGGATGGAAGGGGCTTTGGATCTCATCGTTTGTTTTCTCTTATTGTTTGAGCACGCGGGAGGCGTTAGGGACTTTGGGAGCCGAAGCATGAAGGAGTTGCTCTGAACGCTGTTTTGGGCTCTGAGAGTCGCCCACAGCGTGGGTTGTGCTGTGAAATAGCAGCACCAAATCAGGCGCGGGTGCTCAAAGGAATAGCTTGGTAAATGCCATGGTGGTACGCAGAGGGTTGTGGTTCTGGCAGTAAGAAAGATATTGTTCAACCCGTTGGACTGATCTGAGGCTCCCAAACTGAACCCTGACTACTATATGTTCAACTCATAGTTTGATGCAGGTGATGCGGAGCCATGCAGACATCTATGTAGTTGGCATCTCGAATGGAGGCGACGACCAGGAGCGCGAATTTGACTGTGAAAAGACCATTTGAGAGTTAAAGAACTGGGAAGATGCTTAGAAGAGGCACAGCACAGCAACATGGCATCATGCTTGCTGTATCTCGGTGGCACTTCTGGGGTTGTGCACACTCCCAATCCTCGACTATATATTGATGTCCCCACCTGCCCAGCAAACAATGGATTTGCTACTGATGGTCTCATGAAAACTTGCACCAGCAAAGTGCTTCAAATTTGAGACACGTGGTGGGTGGGCTTGCTATCTCAAGGCTCACGCCCCACATTGCATCCATCATTGCACTTCATCCACTCCCAAGGACAAAACATGTGCCCAGCTCTTTCCCATTGCAGCTTTGGAAGGGGGCCTTTCAAGCAAACGCATTGAGAACATGGACCAAATTGTTTTTGGCACAATTTGATTCGACGAAGTTCAGCACCAGATTTGACGAAGTTTAGCACCAACCACAAGCACAAGATTCAGCGAACATGAGCACCAGATTTAGCCAAATTTTGCACAAGGCTTGGCAAGTTGCAGCACTAGAACAAACACGAGCGAAAGCATTACATTTGACGAAACCTAGCAACAGGTTTGACGAAATTTGGCACACGGCTTGGCAAGCCAGAAGCACAAAATTGCACGAAAATGAACACCAGTTCTGACATTTGTTTTGCTGAGCCCCTGCCCCATACAGAAATGACAGCGCACCCTGGCCATGCCTCCCAGGCCCCAGCTGCAAATTTGAGAAATCAATGTCATGTGATGCCTGATGGCACTGCCTGCCAGAGGAAAACAAAATAACAAAGAGTGCAGATTCTGTGTTAAAACAATGGAAACTGTGATAGCCCCAAGCGGCCCAAGCGCCCCCCCCCAAATACATTTGTTGTTACTATATATCAGTAGATTATATATATATATATATATTTGCTTTAACTACTGCATTTAGATACGCATAGCACACATATACATTCATACAAGTACATGCACACATACATGCACCCTACACGGATGTATAGTTATAAGCTATATCACACACTTAGATGGTTGCTCGCAAGAGCTAGGATCAGAATGAAGTCCCACTTTACACGCGTTAGCCCTTGACTCGATGGAACCGCAAAATGCAGAACGGAAAGGCGAAAGGTCGGCAGATTTGAAGATGTTTTAACAGTTTTTTGGGCTCACAACAGCTGCGACTCTGCAATGGACGGCTTGAACAATTGAAAAATGCAGGTGCGTTCCCAAGGCGTCCCTCAGGAATATCACAACACGATGGAAGGGTCTTCGTTGGGCAATGCCTTCCAAAGTGTTCATTGCCCCCCTGCTGTATGGTGGAAAATTGCATGCGATCAAACGGATCAAAAACTCTGTGGGGTGGGGTCTCAAATGTACGTGAGCAACAACGATCGACATTGAGGTCCTTGGAGACAGGTGGTGACACACACACACACACGTGTATATATATATATACACACATACACATCAATGTATATTTACACACGCACATACACATACACATTCACGCTTTCGCAGGACCGGCTTTTGGCAAGGCGGCTGGCTGGCACATTGGAAAGAGGGGGCTTTAGCTGCACAGGCTGGTCAGCACCGCAAGACCTTGTGTTTCATTTGGATTTCATGTGGTTCATGTGGTTGTAGTGCTTGAGACGATCTCATGCTTTGGAAGTATGCAACTTTGATTCTTGTGAGAGCGCTCACGCAGAGGAACTGTGCCACAAGAATGCTCCGCAACAGCATGCTCAGTATTTTATTTCAAGTTTGTCCATTAGTCTCCTGTCAGTGGTGCCTTTGACAGGAGATCATGAGGCAGACGAGAATGAGCCTGGGCGAGTTTGCATTCAGGATACTGAATGCCGATGTGTCTTCTTTGTGGTGTCGCCAGGCAGGCCACACTCAAATCAGGAAACATCGCCTTCATGTATAACATGTGAGCCATGCGGCCAACTGTTGAGGCTGCCCCACCCCCACGGCAACTTTACAGTGTTGACAATGGGGCGCAGTGATGAATGAGCTCGGAGATGAGTATTTTCGGAACATTCACCAAATACCGCACACCTCTGGGCTCCTTCAGGCTCCACCCTTTGGTGTTTCTTTGAGTTCAGTTCATCAGCGCCTCCGTCAGGTGCGCCGGTCGATGCGGCCGTGGTAGCGCAGCTGCGAGGTGCTGCGGGTGCGGGACGAAGCACCCGCTGTATCTACGAAGCTGGGAACAGTGCATGCCAGGAGAGGGTTGCGAGGCAAAAGTGCAAACGGCCACAACCCAGATACCTAGATCAATTACAGTGGTTTTAGGGTAGATGGCGTCATCTCCAAAAATTTTGTTGTTGCCATACAAGACTCTGCCATCACTTGGAAACCACTGTATTATCAACTCCGCCAATGTGGCAGGCCCCTTCTCGCATGCAGGACTTGTCTGAGTGGGGCTCAGCAATGCCAACGTCCTTCCTGCGGCCAGCTGTGCTGCTGTACTTAAGTGATGATGTTGTTGCAGACCTTGTGCCATCCATGTTTCTGTTTCTTGTTGAATCGGAACTGATAGAGCTTACTGGTTGCAGGTTGCTTCCCCAACCCTCTCAAGTTTCGGCAATGTCAATGTCTTTGATTATTCGCAGCAGCTGAGTAGCAGAATGCATCTCAGCCAGTTGTGCTCTGAAAGCAGTCCAACTGTGGCAGCCGAGGCCAATTAGCCGCTATTTTCCTCGAGTGTCGGAGAGGCTAGTGATGGCTGCAGCCCATGAAGAGCTGCTTCGAGCCCCACCTCGACAGGCGGAACATGCTGGAACAGTTGATTCTTTCCAGTGGCCACAACAGCAATTTAGACAAATGCAGTGGATTAGTCAAACAGTGGAACAATGTCATGGTCATATCGTGATTCCTTCCTTGATATATACGTTACTAATCGTTACTATATATATATATATGTGGAAGCCATTCCTATTAGACTCCTTTTGCTTGCTTCTAGGTTGGAGGCCATCGCTTTAAGACCCAGTTTGATCCGATCATTTCCTATTGCGAATCCTGAATCCATTCTTGGAAGGTCGATGCAGATGGCCAAGCAGACTGGGTCCGAGGCTGGGTCTTGATCCATCGCGGTGAAAACAAAACGGAATCCGAGGCCAGGGCCGAGTTTCCATCCATTTGATGGTGACAAGTCCGTTTCCGGGACGGCTCCCGCAGAAAGAACCTGACCAGTCGCGCATGTGATTTGCCTATGCCTTTTTCGTGAGCCTTGGCCCTTGATGGGCCTTGCTGTCTTCACAGGATTTCCGGCTGATCCAGGAGGCCGCTTTGCAGCTCCGACTCGCCACTTTGTCTCAATTGGAAGTAGTGACATCAGTAGTAGTAGTAGCAGCAGCAGCAGCAGTAGTAGTAGTAGCAGTAGTAGTAGTAGTAGCAGTAGGAGTAGTGGTAGTGGTAGTGGTGGTGGTAGTGGTGGTGGTGGTGGTCGTAGTAGTCGTAGTGGTGGTAGTAGTAGTAGTAGTAGGAGTAGGAGTAGGAGTAGGGGTAGGAGTAGGAGTAGTAGTAGTAGTAGTAGTAGGAGTAGGAGTAGGAGGAGGAGGAGTAGTAGTAGGAGTAGGAGTAGGAGTAGGAGTAGGAGTAGGAAAGGAGTAGGAGTAGGAGTAGGAGTAGGAGTAGGAGGAGGAGGAGGAGTAGTAGTACTAGTAGGTGGAATATATACTGAGTGTGCGTGTGGCTCTGGATGAGGGCCAAGTAGCGCTGCGCTGAAGATTTGGAGGTGAAAGTTCCAGATGCACAATTGAGAAGACAGGATTCGGTGGGTTTTGCTGGTGTGCGCAGGAGGTGCTGTTTGTTTGACTTGTGAGTGCTGCAGGTGAGTTTCAGTCGCTGGTGGCTGGGGATGAAGGTCAAGATCATGCAGATTTCGCTCAGCTGGCCAATCTCACTTGCACCCAGTGGCTCCAAGCCAGGGACTGCCTGTGGGAGGGATTGTGCAACATAGCATTCCAAGAGAAGGTTGCTGTACCAATTCCTGCTAATGCCGCTTGCTTGATGTTTTGTAGAGGCTGGGCAAAACCAACATGGCGAATCAGGGCAGGGCCCAAAACCATCCGACCCAGACTATTGGAACAGTAAAGACTAAGTTCACATCCAAGCTTCAGCTTGTTATGCCTCCTTCACCGTGCGCCGTTCGCGCAAAAATGGGTTGAACTGTGCGCTGCAGGACTTGCAATTGGTTTTCGGTGCTGATGAGGGCGCCGAGGCGTTGAGGTGCATTTTGGAGGAGCTTAGGATGGTGGGATACGTCGTTGTCTCCTAATTCAAGCTTCGGCTGCAACATATTTACTAAATATTAAAGCTCGAGTGGTTTTGCATGTTATTTCGAAAACAGAGAGCGCTGTGTTGGTTTTGATGCAACTGAGAGCACTCCATGCTGAACCAAATTCCCCTCTCACCTTCGATTCTGGGTGTATCCCTCATCTATCCTTATCCACCCAATCATTTTTTATACTTTTTTACTCATATTTTTCACCAATATCACATATCCCCAGAGCGTCACCGCTGCACTGCTCAAACAAAGCCGTTCTCAGCGCCACCGAAGGAGAAGTCCTATCCAGCGGTGTCTTCCGCTGTGATGCTGCTGGGGGCGGCATATCGACCCATCTACACGTCGTTCGTGCGAGGTACGCATTTTTGTTGCTTTTTTTTGAAGTCTAATATTATCTAATATTTATTTTAATGTGTCTTGATGCCTGTTTTCATGTTTCTAACACTATGGGCCCCCCCACAACCGGTTGTTTTGAGATTTCTAGACCCGCGATGTGGACTACTCCGACGACACCCGCGGGCGGCGCATGGCGGCGCACGGCGGTGCACTGGAAGAGCAGATTCGTCGGACGAATCGAGATCGTTCCAGGTGATTTGCACTCGAGGCCGGTGTCGACTTCACCTTCACATGCACCAACTACGCCCATGAGCCACGGTCAAACACCTCATGGCCACACGCCCCACTGTCAGACGCCGAAAAGTGCAGAGACTTGGCCAAGAAAGGCATGACCGCACATGCTCCGTTGTACCTTTTGCGCCACCACCTGGTGTGGTGATAGAAGAGCATCGGGTAAGCCTCGACGGACTTCCATCACTTAGGTCAGCGTCTCTGGGCCCTTCTCCTGCGCAGTGCCATCTGAGAGTCAGCTCATGCTGCTTGAGCAGGCCAGCTCATGCTGCTTCTGTCATTGTCAGTCCGAGTTCACAAACGCAGAAGTTGGCCTGTGGTTTGTGAGGCCTGCGGTGTGGTATTACTCGTTGGCCCCATGTTGTAATATGTTGTAATGGGAGCAGGCCCAAGTTGCAGGTTCGTAGGCCCAGGCTTCCCTTTCCCTGGATTGCATCTTAGACTGAGGCTCTACAAAACCTTCCGGGTGGATGCAATGAGAGCACAGCCATAGGCTTTTGCGTGATGAATGGGGTCGAAGGCGCTGAATCTGATTGTTCGGCAAAGGCGGAATCTTAGGACCGCTTTTACCATTTGACGCTTTAATGAGAAAACGGCCGCTCTACTGTCTTGGACGGGACCTTGGACATTTTTGGCCGCGACCGCAGGTCCGGGGATGCCCGAGGTGCTCCTGGCATCCCATATCGCCGTTTTGGAAGGTGTTTCGGTGAGCATGGAGGAGCACCTCGAACATGGTGAGAACTTCGTTGAAGTCGTCTCTCAGCTGATTTGGGACATCGATTTTGTGTTGTCTCAACCTGGTCAGGTGGCACTTGGCCTGCTTCATGCTTCTGCCCATGTCATGGCACGTGTATGAGGGTGCGCAAAAGGAGCAGAGCATGTCATCATGCAAACTGACACCTGAAGGGAGAACCATTAGCTTCATTGCGCAAATCCAATTCCGTTTCAAAGAGGGCAAGATGACGCAAGATGTAGTAATTTATACACTCAGAGCCCAGAACATTTGTGTGCAGTATATAGTTGTATGATGTTGTATGATATATATATAGTCTGTGTGTGTGCATCACACCTTCTTCTAGCTGGCCAACGCAAAATCATAAGCCGTGCACCTTCCGGCACTCGGAGGGTTGGCGAGAACGGATCCAAAAAGGTCGCGACTGGAGCTCACGGTAACTGGCCCACCCCGAATGAAAACACCCTTGCCACACACTTGCCGCCTTCAGGGGCCAGAATCCCATGCAACTGCCCTGATCTGCCCTGCCCTGTCCTGTTTGGCCCTTCCGCGTTGTTCATTGCCACAGGTGGTGGCCATCATCACGGGTCGCCTGGTGCCCTGCCGAGAGAACCAGCTGCAGGAGCTGGATGCAGCAGTGGGTGAGCAGCTGGAGCCCGGTGGAGGCCCACGTGGTCCGTGGATGATTATGGGGGGCAATGAGCATCAGTGAGCCCGTTAACAGGAAACACATCATCATGAAGCATCCGGAAATCCTCAGAGAATGTCATAAGTGTCATAAGTGAATGGTTAGTGGGTTAGTGCACAAGCTGGCAGCGGGTTGAGTTTCATATCAGGATATTTGCGGTTTGTTCTTTCAGTGATCACGTGCAGCTTCTTCAACTTCTGAGACCGTGAGACCACACACACGCTGGCACGCTGCTTTTTGACTTCCAGGTTTAGCGTTAGGTAGGGTGAGCCACCGGGGTTTGATACCTTGATTGAGGCGTTACGTTGTCCCAGCTGGTCGATGCCGATGCGGAAGGATCAGGGAACCTCATCAACAAGATTTGCCTCTTTGTTCAAACGAAGGCCTTTCAGAGTGGTGACACTGCCAGAGCGTGGTGGACGCGCCACTGCCGCAGAGCGTTGGAGACGCATCCCTTATTGCAAGGACGAGCATATCGAAGAACGTTGCTGCAGAATTGTGTCTCTACAGATTCTTTGAGCATCGCCTCCTTGCAACAACGAAGTTGGGCAGCAAAGGATCTCATCAACAACGAATGTGCCAATGCCTTGGCCGAAACTGCGTTTAAGGTGCGAGTGGTTTCAGAGGCACCAACGGAAATGAAGCCAGAGAACACGGAGACTGACAACGTGGACTGGGGCGAGCAGGTGAATCAGTGACTTGACACTGTCCAGGTTGAGAGATGCGGTTTCAATCCAATGTTTGGATCATGGGACTTTGGACAAAGCCGAACTTGGGCACTTTCTTCAAGCCCAGCTTGTGTTGTGTTTCCTTGGTGCCTTTATGAGGACGCGGCTGAAAGACCTACGGAAGCTGATGCGCTGTCTCTTCCAGGCTTTCGATGCGGACCTGGACAAGAACAACCAGGCAAGCCGAGCACTTTTGTGCCACTACTGGCCCCTTGACTCATTGACTGATTCCTCAAGCAACAAATTAAACATGGGCAAGCCGCATAAGTTTCACGAGTGCCTGCCCTAGCCCTCAAACAGCATATGTCAATGAAGGCACCTTTCCATAGGCAGCTGAGAAGGAGACCCATCATCCGCCGGATAGGCCGAAGTCAGAGTCAACTTCTTTTGTGCCTGTGCAGTTTTCAGGCCGGTAGCTTTAGCAGCCGCAGAAACTTGGCCAGAGCTCCTCACGCCTGACACAGGAGGGACCCCGTTTCAGAAAGCCTCGTGCTATGAGGTCTAAGACGTTTTTCTCATGATCCCCTTGTCTAAGGATATCACCAGTTCACTCGATGCAAATTTATGCATTTTCTGAGTTTGATGGTGCATTCAGACATTTTTGCGATCACCTTTGCGGTGCTGACGATCTATACGCTCTTTGCGCCAAACATTTTGCTGGTGTTTGGTCTGAGTACAGAGCACACTGCACCAGTGGCCATTCTAAATACCGTGGTGCTGGGATTCTTTGTGTTGGAATGCATTCTGAGCTGCATCTTCATGAATGGCTATTTGCGATCTGGGCGTGTTTTCTTGGATATTATGGCCATGGTGAGCTTGGTCGGAGACACCTTGATCCAGGCGCATTTCTTCCCCATGACTCCAATTGCCCAACCAAGCATGGAGACTTCTCAGCTGGACCCCAGCCGCCCGAGCCGGATCCTGGATATCCTGAAATTTGCGCGGCTCTTTCGCATTGTGCAGAGACTTGGCCAAACCTCAGCGTGGGTGAGACGTTGTGATGTGAGATGTGAGAAGGAGCTGGAAGCCTTAGAGGTTAATCGACTCGATCGGGTCCCACATAGACGGATCATTGTGTGAATACCAATGGTTGACTCACAGCGAAGCTGTTTGGGTACGCTGAGATGCTTCTATGAGGGCAACATGCCCCACAGTAATTTGATTCCCTACTATGCTCTTCAGAGTTAGATATTTAGTATTTTTTATATAATCACATAATATGTTTACAAGATCAAGCGTCATGGGCTTTCAGGCTGCTCAGAACTTTGCATGGGATTGTTTGGCGAAACTTCTTGCGGCCTCACCATGGCTTAGCACAACAGCTATACCACAAAAGGCTGCTTGCTTGCGATTGGAGGAAACGGCAAGACGTGTCCTGATCTTTGTATTCCCCAACTTGACTCACGTAAGATTCACAGTAAGATCCACATTCTTGGTTGCGCCAGGCTGTGGCGAGTGTTCCAGGACTTGTGTGAGGTGGGCGGCAGGAACCGGCTTACAACTTTCGAAACTGATCTGTCCTGGCAGGGGAAGAAGACGCAGTTGAGCGCGGAGCAAATGCGCTTCTTCTTTATGGTGCCCAGCTCAGTCACTGTGGGAGAAAGGTACCTACAAAACGGCTTTGTTTGCCAAACTGGCTGCCTCAGGCAATGCGGCTGGAGTTCCCTGAGCGCAAGGACTGGGATGGCTCAAAAGCATACCGTAGGCCGTAGATGTGGCAGCCAACTGTTGAAGGTTTGCATTCAAAGACACCGACGTCCAAAAAGAGTGTGGGGCTTTGTGTTTTTTTTCCCGAATGCGTAGCGAAGGGTTCCCGTTTATGGTTGGGGGTCTGGGGGTTGGACATGTGTTTGCATGGCCTGCGTCGTGTCGTCGTCTGTCGTCGTCTCTCGTCGTCTCTCGTCGTCGTCGCGTCTCAAATTTGCTGCCATTGGGGGAAGCTTTTGCAAGTGACTTTGCATGGATGTGTCACGTGTCAGTTTGCGCCGCTATTCCATTGTGATTTGCATGACACCGACATGTCGCGCAAGAAACGTGATGCATTTCGCTGCACAGGCGCAGCGTTTTGTGAGATCCGCAGTTTGCTGCGCAGTGCCATTGGGATTAGTGTTTGGAGAGTCGTGTTTTTGGGGTGTTGGATGTGGCCGTGCCATTGGGATTTGCGTTTCAGGGTGTGGCATCGAAGCTCTGTTTTCGTGACAAGTCTCAGCTGAAATGGCGATTTTGGAGGATGGGAGTGTGCTCTGAACGGGTCGAAATCATTCCAAACGTGTGGTGTGGTGCAAATTTTGTTGAAGCTCACATGCGATGATATTGTCACTTTTCGTGGCAGGCGCAGGACTTCGTGCGGGTTTTGAAGCGTGGAAGTGCGATTCTCGTGGCAGGCGCAGGGAATCGTGAGGCTGCGAGGTGTGAGGGAGGTGACATTTCGTGGCAGGCGCAGTACTTTGTGCGCGTCAGACGTGTGGATGGGGAAAGATTCGTGGCAGGCGCAGGGAATCGTGAGGTTGTGAGTTGTGGTAGAGGTGAATGTCGCTGTCACATTGGGATTGGCGTGTGAGCGGGTGTTGTTGGAGGGGCTGGAATCGCGAAACTGCTTGGCAGGGCTGCGTGATGTGTGTGCTTTGATGGGTGTTTCTGCTTGACTTTTGGAGGAAGTCTCGTACAAAGCGCTCGTTTTGCTGACTTTGACGTGTGAGTTTTGAGGAAGTCTCGTACGAAACGCTCGTTTTGGAGGCTTGACGCGCAACCCTCTGCGGAGATCGTGCGTGTCGAGTGTGCGAAATGCAGGCGAGAGTGCGATTTGTCCCATGCGCGCGCAACCCTCTGCGGAGATCGTGCGTGTCGAGTGCGCGAAATG